CTGATCATTGTAGTTGCCCTCCCCTCTCCCACCCTCTCTCTTCCCCTCTCCGACCTCCTTTTCCCAGTCTCCCCGAGTTTTGTTCAATAAAGAGAGATTCTATTTTTGACCACACGTTTTCTTTATTTTGTACATCAGGAAGGGGGGCTAGGGAGGGGTAAGTGGAAGGAGATGAGGGAGGAATGGGGTACGAGCCCCCGATGGGGAGGACTGGGCTGGCTCTGTGGGCTTCTGGGGGTGGAAGCTCTCCTGCAGCCCCCCCAATTGCCCCCTCTCTCCAGATGGCAGCCTGCGGCAAGTGCAGCCGGTCTGATGGCCGAGTGCTGTGATGTGCCCAGTGTGGGCACTCAGGGCACTCTAAGCCAGGACTGTTTTGCAAGCGGGGAACCCTGAGAACTGTCTGTCCGGGGTGGGGGTCGGGTCCCTTTAAGCACAGCCCTCAGCTAGCCTGAGACAGCAGCTCCACGCTCTAAGTCCTCATCTGATGCCCTGCCAGCACTGCTTCCGGCCATCCTTAACCTCGGTTCAGGGTCCACTCTGTGTGGACATGCTAGTTCGAATTAGCAAAACACTAATTCGAACTAGTTTTTTAGTCTGGATGAGTTAGTTCGAATTAGCTTAGTTCGAATTAACTAATTCGAACTAAGTTAGTTCGAATTAACGTTGTAGTGTAGACATACCCTGAGAGACCACTGGACTAATCTAACGGGTTCCTAGCCTGTGGAGTCTCCTGGGCACTTGAGGAGACTTAGGCATTGCAAAAAGGCTCACTGTCAACTAAATGCCTTTCCTTTACAGTGCATGCTATCTTTTTAAAGAAGTGTTACAGATCCTCTGAACTCAGCACTTCATTTCTTAGCTCCTCCGGAGAGAGACGCCTTTCAACCAGTGGCAGCTTTGGGTATGTGTAAAGATTTTGAAATACCTATTTCTTCAGGAAAGCATTCTGAACAAGATGCAAACCTGATTTTTTTAGAAGTATGTTTTGCAGAGTTGGTCTCCTCAAGGCAGTTTCCTTTCACAATCCTGATGCCTCATGTTGAGTCACTTTATGCATGCTGAAGCAGTTTCAGTTTCTCCTTCCTGTCTGCTTTCTCTAATTGTTTTACGTAATAGGTTTTGTGTTCTAAACATTCTGTCCTGTTTTTCTCCTTTTGAACTCTCCCCTGTTTGTCTTTAATGGAGGCCTTCTCAATGTTGAGAAGAGGCATTTTGAATGTCTGTCTGTGCATGACATAGCCATTATCCTTTGTGGTAAAAGGTGCTTCAAGGTGTAATTATCATTGTTAAGAACCTCACCACTATTCTGCTTGTATATTCACTTCATTTATCTGTGGCAGCATCATGTTGCAATGTAAAAAATAAAAGCGTAATGACTAACAGGTTTAACAGTATTCTGGGTTCAGATCTGCAGACTTCTCAGAGAGAAAATATGACTCACTCCTCAGGGACTTTTTGTTTTAAACAGTCCTTCTGACTGCTTCTTTGGGAAATTCCAATACAGCTACATAAAATTTTGCATACTTCATTGCTACAAATGTAAGAAGTTCATTTTAAGGCTCCCTCTGTTTTAAACTGGACACGCTGTTTGAACAGCTCAGGCCTTAAGAAATGGGTGCTCATAACTTGCATTAATCAATACAATGGAACCAGAGCCTGTACCTGCACCTCCTCACAAGTGAAGCCAGAATGAGAGCCCAGGAAGGTAGGATGTAGACATGTCTTTAAGCTACTTCATGTGCTCCACTAATTCTGGCCTGCTCTAAGGGTTGGCATGGCAGATACAGACACTCCCTCCTTCTTGTCCTCCACCTACACAGGAAAGCAGAGTTGGAAAGTCCATAACTAGCCACATGCTACCCCTGAATTGGGAAATTCCCAGGTCATTCCATCCCCTTTATGACAGTGGAGTTGCATAAAAGGACTGCAGCGGGGGACACAATCAGCCCAAAGGTGAGGCGTGGATCTGGATGCAAAGTCAACCAATCTTTTTACTTATTACTAATTATTTATATAATATCAGTGTACCAGGCACTGCAGTTCAGCTCCAGCAACTCTTATGATGATGTGCAACATACAGAATGCAGAAGTTATGTCACCTGTCTCCTAGCTACAATTGCATTTCGTAGAAAGCTACTTGAGGTTCCCCTAAAGGAAGGAATACTATAAATGTCTGACATGCTGATTGGCATTGAAGAATAGGGGTGGGTTATACTGAATACAGAGGCATGTATTACATGTGAAGTCTTGCTCCACGCATGACATGAGATGCTTCCAGGGTCCCTAGGTTAGGACCCAGAATAGTGGGCAGGCCTGGGTCTCTCCATCCCCCCCCACCCTTTTGCCTATCTTGCCATTCGGAGGACTGGCTAGAGCTTGGACTGCAGCATACCACTGAGGTGAGTGGCTAGACTTGAGAGTGCAGTTTGACACAGAAGAAAGTGGTTGGCCTGAGGACAGCTGGTCCCCTAAAAGGGGAGAGAACTGAGGCACAGCCAGAGCCATGCCCAGAGGAGGAAGCCACAATTTGGGAGTAATGCTGATCCAAACAGTAGACACAGCAGTGGTAGCAGCCTGGAGGTGCTGAAAGTTAATTCCCAGCATGACCAGCAGGAGGCACCTGTATGGTGAGTCCCACCCACTTACACCTGTCTTTACCTCTGGACTCAATTCAGGTCCAGCTTTCCTTAAAGCCCTCCCATGCTATGCAGTCCAGGAGGAGTTACTGTATTTCACTAGTAGTGTGATCATTAGTAGCAGACACCCAATACTGATCTCCATATTACACAGTGCTCAAGCCTGCCCTGTAATTGATTCACAACACATGATGCTCCTTTGCCTTGCATCCTCGTAGTCATTTACACTTGGGCAAAGTGCTAGGCTGCGTCTAGACTGGCAAGATTTTGCGCAAAAGTGGGTGCTTTTGCACGAAAAATTGCCGCATGTCTACACTGGCCGCGAGTATTTGCGCAAGAACACTGACTTTGTACTGTACAAAATCAGTGCTTCTTGCGCAAATACTCCGACGCTCTCGCTCAGAGATAAGCCCTCTTGCGCAAGTATTCTTGTGCAAGAAGGCCAGTGTAGAAAGCCATGTTAATTTCTTGCATAAGAAAGCCCGATGGCTAAAATGGCCATCAGCGCTTTCTTGCGCAAGAGAGCATCTACACTGGCACGGATGCTTTTGCGCAAAAGATGTCTTTTGGCCAGTGTAGACGCTCTTTTGCGCAAATATTTTTAACAGAAAAACTTTTCTGTTAAAAGTATTTGCGCAAAATCATGCCAGTCTAGACACAGCCCTATTGTTTTTCAGTTACCACAGGTATAAATGGGTGCAAAGGTACAGACCAATGGAGAAACAGGTTCATACGCTTTCTGTAGCCAATGAGCCACTGGTAACAATCTGGTTCATGGAAGCCATGTTAGGCAGTGCACTGACTGTGACTAATGGAGAACTGATCTGCAGTGAATCAAAGTGAAAACAGTAAAGGCATCATGTGGCTGAAAAAGCTCAAGCAGGAGGAAGAGCAGCATTCACCAAGCTGAAAAGTCTCATAAGACTACCAATGAACTGAATGAAATCAGTGAATAACGGGAGAAAGGGTTCCAGACTTTGGTGATAAGGAAGAGTCCACCACAGAAGTCATGAGATGTGGGAGACTTCTCTCCAAAAACAGTCCAGGCAGTCTTTTCTTTTCAGCCAGCTGCACATGGATATAAGAAAATTAACATGATGGGCGAGCAAATGTAATACAGTTTAGCAAATCTTTGCACTTCACTTATCTTGGACCTAGGAGAGAGGTAGAAAAGGAAATAGGTTCAGCACTAGAAACGCTGGTTTATAGGACGCAGGATACTAATGTAAGTTTACAAATTAACATTGCCTTCCCCCAAGTAGTCCTGCAGTTCCCTAGGCTCGTTTGGAGGTTGATAAATTACGTGGCGGCCCAGCCTTACTGACTAGATTGGTCTGATGAAGTTTTCTGGCCTTCATATAGTCCTGAAATGAATGGAGCTCACCGTTTTCACTTCAAAGAAACACATACTATTTCAAGCTCTTCTTTCATTGCTGATTGTATCTTATTAGCCTTTCTCATGTAAATATTTAAAATAGCAAACATTTGGATCTTGGTCTGTCATTTGGATCTTGGTGATCTCTCCTTTAGAAACTGGGGACCCAGTTGTGTTCTTCAGATATACAGACACAGATTGCATTCATGGGGGGCTTTTTTAAAGGCCAGAAGGGACCTTTATTACTATAGAAGGCAATGGAAACTGCACCCACACATTTGAGGTTAGTTTGGGGCCCTTCATGAAATATATGCATATGCTTTCACAAAGGAAAGTACCATATAAAGTAAACTATAAAAACAAGTATATTCTTTATCTTGTAAATTTACACAAGTGAATAGCCTCAGTGATTTAAATGGGATTTCTCATGTAAGTAAATCTTTACATGTTTATCAATTACATTAAACTTAGCCTTTAATTTTAAAACAAATTCTCCCCCCCCACCATTATTGCTGAAAAATACTGTAAACATACCACCAGAGTTTTCATTCTTTACATAAAGAAAATAGCTATAAACCATAACTTGAGCATAATTAAACACAAAGGTTATCCCGTGTTTAGGACTATAAATCTTTAAAGCTTTATTTCAAAACGTTAGCTGACTTGTTTGCATGCAACAGCATTGTGAGTCCTCTGCTTGAACTACTGTATGGTTGCTTTTTTTTATAGTGAATCCTTCCCAATCCTTTTCCTCAAGTAAGAAAATCTCAGTCTTTGAAATGCACATTGATATGTCTGCAGAAGTTAGCCATGTTGTCTGTAATTGTTCATTTTCCTCTTGTTTAGTCAGGAAAATCAGGTAGAAATGATGAAGGAAAGCGCCTTTGAAAGAGCTGATACAAAAACACTAATGTGTTTAGATAGTGTGTCCACTGACTACACATTATGTCCATCAGAATAGCCTTTGTTTACTCAGCTGTACTGACATTCCATTTTCCATTTTCCTGAGTGCTGCAAGTGACCACATTCAGTTTTTTCTCAATTTTATCAGCAACGGCACGCATTTTTAATTCTCTTAGGCTGCTGATCAAACTTCCATAAGCCCCCTTCATCCCGTGATGTTGATACCAGATATGGAATAATTTGATTTTTTGCTCTACTGAATCATTTAAATTATCTTGGAGGGTCTGCTCTATGGCAGTTTCTGAGATTTCACGGTTTCGAACAAAAGCCTTCACTTGTGATAGCGTCATCTCCTCTACAATAGCTGGAATATGGATGCTCAGGTCGACATCTGGAAATATAAATAGTATGTTTATATAAATATAAACACTAGTATTTTACTGATTTTTCACACATTTTAAATAGATCACACCTTTCCTATTCAAAACAGATGGAGTTTAAGGCTAAATGAGACATGAGAGTCAATCTCTTATAGGGAATTCATAGTAGGAATAAATCTACATTCTTTGTTAGAAAATTTAGACTTTCAAGTATGGACCCATGTCCTTCCTGTGACTTCAAATAAGCCCACAAGTCTTTCTTTAGGGCTTCATCTTCACTGCCAGTTTTTCTAGCAGAAAATATGCTAATAAGGGACTCATTAGCATAAGTTGCAATCTCATTAGCATATTTGCTGCCATTTCTTTTTGCACAAAAAGAAGCAGTGTGAACTTTTTTTGCGCAAAACCCCTGTTTTGCACAAGATTCTTATGCCTGTACTGTCCACACTGCTTCTTTTTGTGCAAAAAGAAATGGCAGCAAATATGCTAATGAGATTGCAACTTATGCTAATGAGTAATGAGTCCCTCATTAGCATATTTTCTGCCAGAAGAACTCACAGTGAAGGCATAGCCTAGGACTATTTCTCCTTGCCTTCCACACATCACCAAATTTATAAATTCCACACAAACAGATCAGCACCTCTGGCATTCTCTTAGCTGGGACATAACCACGAGATGAAGATACTTCAGGTGCTTGACTCATGCACTAGACAGTTCAGTGTACAGCAGCCTATCTTCTGTTCTTTGTGTACAACTACATTTCAATACTACATGATCTGTAATGGAGCCTTTAAAAGCTGCAAAGTCCAGGAGAATAGAATACATGAATACATGAAATCTGGCAACAAGGCAGCCAACTGATCTACTAACCAGTAGTGGATTTCCTAGTTAGTCCTGTGGGACAAAATCTCCAAAAATTTGCACATATGCAAATTTTTAACAAGCAGGAAGACATCTGAGTGCTTATACAAGAAGAGAGTATTTTTTCAATAACTAATTACTTTTAACATGGATCAGGTAAAACAGGCTGCAGCCCTTACTGAAGCAAAACTTTCTTGAATTTGAAAACAATGAGAATTGTGTCTTAGGTCTGTAGGATTGTTCCCCTAACTGACATTTATTTAAGAAGAAGAGTTACAAATCAGTGAAAAGTGACAGCATTTCAAAACAGAGCCTGCTCTGGCATTAAACTGAGCAAAGCCTACAGTCTTACACAGTTTCGAAACCATGTTTCTCATGATTCCTTCAGCGAAAGTAAAATGTTATTTCGTACCTGGGTGCATGAGAGGCTCCATTTCCTGGAAACAGATACAGAAATAAGTGTAAAGAGAGGCCCTGCAGATTGTAGAGTATTTTCCTCTCTTCCTCCCTCACCACCCATCACCTGTTTTTCTTGGTAATTGATTTGTTTTTCTGTGTTCTCACTTAATCCCATCTTCTCTTCTTCTTTCGGTGCTATATTCTCTTTTATACCTTACTGGGCAGTGGCATAGACTCCCACTATCAATTTTTTTTAAACACCAATTTACACAGAATGCTAAATGTCATGAAAATTGTGTTTTCTCCGAGCTTTAACCATGACCAATTTTAAACTGAAAAATAAAAATACAGGTGGTCTTTATTTGGACTAGGACAAGGACTTCAGGGTCTTCGCTACTCAAAATGCTTAAGCAATGTATAGAGCATTCTTTGGGAGAGAAAAGATTCTTTGTCTAAGGCGGGGGGAGGGGAAAGGGGGCTTTTACTAGAGTGGAGAGAGTGGCTGTTGCAAAAAGGCAGCTTCCCCTACTTCTATACCTTTCCTTTTTTCACAGCTTAAAGACAAGCAGCTGATGAGGAGAAAGCAGAAGTGATGCAAACCTTGGGTCACTTATGCACATTTCTGCAGTGATCTGACCCTAATGAGTCAGGCTAGCAAATATTACATTTCTTTCTTCAGGGTCCTCTTTAGAAAACTCTGTTGAGCCCCTGCTTTCACGCTCCTTCCTCATGGTCCCCTCTGTTGCAATTGTCCTTTGGCCACAGAAAACTGGATGAACTGAGCTCTTTGGTTGTGCTGACAGATGGGCTGAGGAAGGGAGTAGCGAGGGTCATGACAGAATGACACAATGTCCTCTCTTAGGGTATGTCTACACTGCGGGGCTTAACTCGAAATAAGATACACAAACTGAGCTACGTCAATTGCTTATCTTATTTCAAAATAGCTTATTTTGAATAGGGAGCATCTGCCCAGCACTTATTTTGAAATAGAGCACTCTTCCTCCGACTTCCCTTATTCCTCGTACAATGTGGCTTACAAGAGTCGGAGTAAAAAGTCCTCCAGTTTGACAGTATTTTGACACAATTTTGAAATAGCTGCCTGCTGTGTAGACGTGGACTAAGTTATTTTGGAATAGCGCTAGTTATTTCCAAATGGTGTCGCAGTGTAGACATACTCAGCTGCTGGGCACTGCTAGCCCATCCCACTCTAGCCTATACCGTTCTAGGGAACAATGCATGTTTAAAGATAAGAGTATTTAGGGGTTAAAAGCTTTAACTGTATCTCAGGCATAGATACATAGTGGAGTGATCCAAATGAAATCCCTGACTTCCTAGTTTGTGTATGTAGCTGGGACATTTGGGTTTGAAACTTTCTCTTGCTCTGTATACATTGTACAATACAAAACTCTCTTTTCAGACCGGCTTCTAGGACGCACTTAGACAAAGCCCACTATTTACTTGGTAAAAAATAGTTTGAATTCTCCCCCAAGAGTCTTTCTCTTGGTGGTGAAGTTCACTTCCTTCATATAAAACCAGAATGTTAAGGGAGGGGCCTCCACAATCTACACAGCCCCCATGTGGATTTAAGTGGTGTGGAGGGGTCTTGTGCTGCTCCAAGCTGAATTTCAGCCATGCTAAGCAATGATACCTACAACACAGATGGGTGGGCGGTGGACATCCTGACACGGCATCTCCTTGTTCAAATCAAAATCCTGCCGTTTCTTCTTGTCTGAAATAAACCAGGCCAAAGAATTTTTAAAACCAGCATGGAGTATGTATTCATGCTACAATGAAAAACCCACAAGAGGAGAATTATGATAATTAATAGAGTGGTCAATTCAGTATGCAGAATGGATGAAGAAAAGAGACTAACTTACAACAGTACACTGCGATGGCTGCTAGTGATGTGATTATGATTCCAGCCACTAGATAGATCCACCAGAAGTGTCCTGATAATTTAGAGCATTATAACATTTACATCAAGGTAAAACATAGAAAAACACTGCAATACAACAACACATTTGGACCTCTTCACAGGTATATAAAGAGGCCTGACTTTATGGGCCCTTGTATAGATGTGGGGGGGTGTCGTGAGATTCAAGGACTCTTCTCCTCCCTGTTCCTTGCATCAGAACAAGACACAAAAATCATTCCTGTTCTCTCCTGCCTATAGGGACTGCTCTCTCTTACTGCCCCCTACGATACAAGCCTCTCTAAAAGGGGCAAGCTGTCCACATCAGCCAGCAGATCTGGCCAGTCATTGAATTGAGCCCATGTTCTACCCTTGTGCAGCAGTCAGTGTGCTCCCTCTGCATTCCAGGTGTCCCCAGGAAGAATTTCATATGATGGTGCAGCTCCTGCTGCCTCCCTTGGACCTAACACACGCAATCTGACCTACACTTCATAGCTGATTCCACTCTATCCAGCTACATTCCAGGATTCAGTGATTCACCTTTTCTTTTGCATATGGTATCTGTGGTCTGAGTGCATTCTTTTTCAATGGCATCATTTTCACACCTAGAGAAAAAGATGACAAATATTTATATATTTAGCAATAATTTAAAGATTGTTGATTTTATTCTATCTGTCATTAAAAGAAGGCAACATTATCCATGTCCCCAAACCCTGTTTCCAGCTGGCTTTTAATACAGTAAGAAAGTGGAGTTTTGAGTTCAGTAAGAGGGAAAAGTATTTGTTTAGTCCTCCAATGTTTTAAAATTTAGTCTCTAGGGATTCTTGCCCAGTTTCCCATAAGGCATTAGTGATAATGTAAATGATAATACCACTATTTACAGAGTGCTGTCAGGTGGCCTTGTGAGCAATTCATGGTGCTCTATGCATGATAAAACCCAATGAAACACAATAAAAACAAACATATCCTCAAAAATATCCTCAAAATAAAACAAAGGAGGAAATCTAAAAAAAGAAAAAGAAGTGAAGAGAAAAGCACAGAAGAAAGAAGCGCTCTTTCTAAAATAACTCAAACACCTTGGGAGTAAAGTTTTCGTGTTTTGGTTTGGTTTTGCTTTTTATAAGTAGGGTGAGACGATGACTGAGATAATTTTTGGGAAGCAGAAACAGCTGTACCCACTAACCCAGCTGTGCCCAATAACAAAAGCACAATTGCCTACACCCACTAATAGCTGAGGGGGAAGGGTATGCTGGCTATGGGGGAAAGGTACAAAAATAATAAAATGCTGTAAAACTTAAAACAGAAATTCAGTTTTCTCTCAATTTCAGTTGTAATGATGTACCCCCCAGACTTCTCTTGAGTACCCCAAGGGTACTTGTACCACGGGTTGAGAAACACTGATATAGACTGTGGAGTTTTCCAACTTTGGATCATGGCTTTTAAAGGTAAGCCACTAACTGGCTGTGAGATGCTCTGTTTACCTGAGCATCCACAGGTATGGATGCTCGCAGTTCCCAGTAGCTGTGGTTTACCATTCTTTGCCAATGAAAGCTTCCCGGAAGTGGTGGCCCAGTCCCCACCACTTGCTGCAGCTCCCATTGGCTGGGAACAGTGCACCATGGCCACCGGAAGCTGTGAATGGCCTGCCTGTGGATGCTCAAGTAAACCCTTAAAAGCTGCAGCAGTACCCAAAGTTTGTAGACATCAGATTTAGAGCCTGGGTCTAGGACCCTGCAAGATAGGAGAATCTCAGAAACTGGGCTTCAGCCTGACCCCGAACATCTACATTGCAATCCAACCACCCTTTAGGTGGACCCCATTAGCCTGAATTGGCTGGTACCAGCCAGCTGTGGATGTCTAATTGCAGTGCAGATGTACAGAGTTACCTGTTACATCAGGGCTACATTACAGCTTATGAACAGGAACCAAATGCATCTCTCAATCTGCCAAAGCCTCAAGGTGAGATACAATCAGTGTGTGACAAAGACCCAAAATTAGATATTAAAAATCTCCTACCAGAAAATTAAAATTTATTCCTTCAACCAAAATAATTTTAAAACCTCAGTTTTACCATTTTAGACTTTTAATTAAAACTAGTTTGTGTGGTAAATGAAGGAATATCAAATTTGTATGCAATATAGTTTGTTTTTGTGACCAGAATGAGATGTATGCAATGTTGTTGTAGCTGTGTTGGTCCCAGAATATTAGATAGACATAATGGGTTATGCAATAGCCTTTATTGGACCGAATATATTACTTTACCCCTCATGTCATTTCCTGGAAAGGAGATTAGAAAAGTATGAGAAGTTTGTCAGTTGAGCCTATAAAAGGAGCCCTCGGCTTTCTTTAAAGTTCTCTTCCTCTATAGACTGTCACCTTCTACTTCCAACTCTGCTTTCTTACCCAGCCAATTCTTCATTCTATAACTTCCCAACATGGAATAATCTTCTATCCACTCACACAAAGCTCAAAAACATTTTGAGTAGGGTTGCCAGGTGTCTGATTTTCACCCAGACAGTCCATTTTTTCTGGCCCCTGTCCGGTAAAAAAAAAAACCCAGAAAATACAGGATATGTAAAATGTCCAGGATTTTCTGTTTCTCTTGTACGGAAGGCTGGCAGGGACAATCTTCCCCTGCTGCATCTGGTGTGGGCTGGGGGAAGCACGCAGCGCGGGGATTCTTAAAGGCGCAGAGCCTTTATTTTTGCTCAACAAGATTGGTCTCCCGTTTCTCCCCCCCCCCCCCCCCCCCCCCATATTTGGGATTTTTGGTGAAAGCATCTGGCAAGCCTAATTTTGAGTGGGAATTATTTAAAGTGGCTTCTAAATTTCTGTGTAGATTGATGCATTCAAATAAATATTTGCACACAACTGTGGTCATTGTGCATGCAAATGGGAACCTATAAAGTTTTTAGCCTTATCCAGACTAGGGAAAAAAGTGCTTCCTCTCACTGAATGAGCTCAACAAATCAGGCTTAACTCAAGTAAAAATCCTGTTAGATTTAACTTGATCACTAACTGGATCTAAAAAGTACTATGCTGATGTGGGATTTTCACTTAAGTGAGCTAAATTGTTTAACTAGTATCTTTCCTAGTCTAAGCAATGCCTTAGAGGCCACAATGACACTGGGAAAACTGACTGAGCTTGACTAATTCACATTATTATTTAACTATACAAATATTTAAAGACTTCAGACTTACTTGCTGCATGGATCACAGTGTCCACATGGTTCAGAAGAATTGCAAAAGTGGTGTTGTGCACACCTGCATTTTGTGTTGTGAGTGGTGGTACAATGTTTTTCAACTTCAAAACCTAAAATAAATCCCAAAAGTTTTCGACAATTAAAAGATGGTGGTACTCTATTTTAGTGCACCATTAGCAAATGCTATGCTCATGCTTTTAGGAATTTTGCTATATACATCAATATGTGCTGGTAATTATAGCATGCATCACCATATTGTTTTCTATACATACCTTGTGAGTGGTGGTACAATGTTTTTCAACTTCAAAACCTAAAATAAATCCCAAAAGTTTTCGACAATTAAAAGATGGTGGTACTCTATTTTAGTGCACCATTAGCAAATGCTATGCTCATGCTTTTAGGAATTTTGCTATATACATCAATATGTGCTGGTAATTATAGCATGCATCACCATATTGTTTTCTATACATACCTTCTGATTATCTGAAAGCAAAAGCTGCAAAAAAACTCAACCAGCCAACCTGACACTAAGCACTTGCTTTGCTGGAAGAGGTCTAGTATATAACATTAGGAAAAATCTGCCAGTATTTTATCATTCCTCATTCTGCGATACTTGAATGGTCAGGTCCCTTTATATTTAGTTGCCACTTTTGTGATGGCTCCTTGTGCAGCTCCTGCACCTTTTGCTGGCATCATCCTCTGGCACAGTTCCCTGATGTCCATCTACTTATGTGGACTGGACATTGGGTAAAAGAGACACATTGGGCAGCGCCGAGTCACTCTGTTTGCCTAGTTTGAACTAGCTTAGTTTTCTTTTAGTAAGATCTTACTATTTAAAATCAACTTTTAACCCTCATGGGCTAGTAAGATTGACCTAGCTGCAGAGATCTTAAAACAGCAGGAGCTTTCCATACAACAATAGAGTACCAGTAACACACAGATTGGAACGTGACTTTTAACAAATAATTTTCTTTCGCTGACAGCAGTTTTCATGCCAGGTGAGGCAGGCACTCCATAGAGTGAGTGGGGACCTTGTCAGTTCAGTTTGAACCTCTAATCCAGCTCCCTTGGGATTTGACCGGTGCCAAATCAGAGAATTTGCTGAACCACAGGAGGTCAATATTGTCTAGCAACATTACCAACTTCCACTGGGCTCTTAGATGACATTTAGTGCTCAGTTAAAGCTAAATAACAGAACACTGAGAGCCCGCTCAGGTGGCTATAAGCAAACGTGATGGGATCGCGGGAAACATGGCCACACCCATGATAAGTAGGGATGTCATCATGTAGTAGATGATTACACAATTAAAAGATAAGCCTAGGCTTAATCTTGTCGACTACACACATCCCCCCCATTTGTTGTCTCTGATACTGAGGCAACAAGGGTGGGGAAGGGCAGGAGCCTCATTCCCCCTCCCCCACTTGCTGTCCCAGATAGAGAGGCAGCAGCAGCAGCGCAGAGGGTAAGAGGGGCAGGCTGGAGCCAATACACATGGGGAGCTGGCTTTCAAGCACGCTCCCCACATGTGCCAGCGCTGTGGACCACCTGCCCCCCTTTGGTGCCTCCTACAGAGGCAGTGGTGAGGGGAGGCAGGTTCTGGTGCTTAGGGGAGCCGGCTTAAAAGCTGCTTCTCTCCAGCACCAGTTCCCTGGTGCCACCTGCCCTCCCTCACACTGCTGCCTTTAGTGTAGGGGAAGGGCAGGGGAGGCTGCTGTGAAGCAGCCTGTCTGTGGTGGGTCCAAGCTCCCAGCAGACAGAGGCTGCTCCGCATCCCACAGAGCAGTCTCTGTCCACAGCAAGCCTTGGCCTGCAGTGGAGACAGGCTGCTCTGGGGCAGCAGTCCCTGTCTGCAGGGGATCTGAGCTCCTCAGACAGGGGCTGCTCCCACCATGTGATGCTGCCTCTATATCACCTCTATATGAGTGGCAGCAGCGTGGGGCTACAGACAGCTGGTCTGCACAGGGAGATGGTTTTTAAACTGGCTCTTCTCATAGACCAGCTCTGCTTGCCACCCTACACTGCTGCCTCTGATACAGACGCAGCAGTGCAGGGTGGCAGGGGGCTTCCCGAGGCTACGTCTACACTGTAGAGTTTTTGTGCAAAAACTTGTGAAGCATCCACACTACAAGTGCAATTTTGTGCAAGAAAAAGTACAGTAGATTGTCAGAAGACAGGGCTTTTTGTGCAAGAGTTATTCCTCTTTCTATGAGGAATAGCTCTTGTAATAGCTCTTCTGCAAAAAGGTAGGTGTGGACAGACAACAGGGTTTCTTGCACAAGAAACTCCTATCGGAAAAAGCACAGGTGCTCTGATGACCATTCTGTGAATGGCCATCAGAGCTTTCTTGCGCAAGAGCATCCAAGGCAGTGTGGATGCGCTCTTGTGTCAAAGCGAATGGCAGTGTGGACGCGCTCTTGCGCAAGAACTTTTTGAGGAAGATCTCTTCCGCAAAAGGTTCTTGCGCAAGAAGCCTGCAGTGTAGACTTATCCTGTGAGTGGAGCCAGGAGCGCACTGGCTGACAGCTCCACCTACGGGGACTATCAAAGAGTCATATAACTGCTAAGATTTCATGCAGTTACACAACTATTCAGTTACATGATATCTAACGTCCCTAGTGATAGGTGGACATCTGACTAACTAAAATCATGTTGGTCCACAGATATTGCCAGATGAGAGAGTTCCAAGTTAGAAAGGTTGAACCTGTACCTCAAGAGACATTAAAGGAAAAGATATGCTGCTGGAACAGAACTCCAGCCCTGACCTAAAATTGAGAATTTCAGCAACCACTGAGGGTTAGGAAAAACTATTTTACTAGGTGGATAGTGAAGTACTGGAATAGGTTACCTAGGGAGGTGGTGGAATCTCCATCCCTAGAGGTTTTTAAGTCCTGGCTTGACAAAGATCTGTCTGGGATGATTTAGTTAGAGTTGGTCCTGCTTTGGCCAGGGGGCTGGACTTAATGACCCCCGGAGGTGTCTTCCATCCATATGGTTCTATAAATTCTATCATTTTATGTGGTGTGGCCGCAAGGATCTCTGGGCCCCCTCCCACATAATTGCAAAGCTGGAGGGCCAGACGCAATCAGGTGCAAAACACTGTAGGATGCTCAGGGACCTGAGCCTCTAATAACTTCAAAATAAAGTTTAAATGCATTAATATTAACACAACAATCCCTTGTTGGAAACTTTTTTTAAGTTAAGGATTTTCAACTTTTTTATGGGATGTATGTTCCCTGTCTTAGCCACCTGCAAATGGGCTTCCTCAAATGCCTCTTCTTATGCACAAATTTCTACTATGCAGCACCTCTGAGTTTGAGGAGAAGCAACTTCAAACCTCCTTCAGTGAGGCCTAACGTGGGAACAGGTTTATGTTGTCCTACATGGTTGCTCTGTGTCATGGGTGTCATTAAAATACTCAAAAAACTGTGTAAAGGTCTGAGAAGGGTGGCCATGTTACTTTAAAAACAAGTAGTCCTTCTGTAACTTTAAAAACAAGTAGTCCTATAGTACCTTATAACATACAGACATACATATATATATAATACAGTATTATGAGGAAGTGGGTTTTGCCTTGTCTCTTAAGATGCTACAGGACTACTTGTTTAAAGAAAAAAAAAAGGTGTGTCTGTGAGAAAATCAAGTTGTATCTTGCAATGTTGTCTGTGTGGGGAGGGGACAGAGTGTTAACCACAAGGAATTATTCAAGATAACTTTTGTAAACAAGGCATTAACTAGAAACATTGGGTTTGGTACCTTTTGTTAACACCCTAAAATGTTTGACTATCCAAAATGTTTTCACATTAGACCAGATTGTGAGCCAAGGTAAATGCCAATAGAAGGGACTTTTAGGGCATAAGGTGGGTGTGGCTGACTGCACTTCTGTATTCGGATCCTACATGTATTGTAATAATCTTTGAACAAAATATGCCTTGTGAAGTATCATTTGGAAACTAATAGCTCACTGATCAATCATATCACAATGAAAAGCATGTAATGGCACTGTGGATATGTCTACACAGCAAAGCTGTTTCTATGTGTGCGTCTATACAGCAATAGCACTATTTCAAAATCATTTCAAAATAATGGGCAGCTTATTTTGGCATTGGTAAACCAGCTATTTCAAAATAGGGGCTGTGTAGACAGGGCAGATGCAGTTATTTCACGATAAGGGGCCTCCAGCCCTTCTTAAGGTGTCCTGCTGGCCACTCTGTCTACACTCAGCCATACTTTGTAGCCACCTTCTCCTGGAGCCCTTCAAGCTGCAACCTCCAGGGAAAAGACTTGTGGCAGGCAGGAGACCCTGACAGCCCTAAGCCAAACAGCTGCTGCCACAGCTACACATTTTGGGTGACATGAGCCAGTCTGCTGCTCCCACCAGCCCCCCAAGTGCTCCCAGGGAGCAGTCAGATGACTCTCAGGCTCTTGCCCAGGGTCAAAAGAAATGTGCACCTACCTGGTCTGGTATGGAGATCCTGGACCTCATTGAGGTCTGGGGTGAGGAGGCAAACTTCCAGGATCTCCGCACCAGGCACAGGAATGCTGATAGTCTATGGCCACACGACCAAGAGTCTGGCCACAAAAGGACATCCACACCCAGGAACAAGTGCAGATAACAAGCACAAATAGAGCACTCCACCAGGCATAGGCCAGGAGCAGGGAAGGCAGCTCCCACTCCAGGGCAGAACCCCACATCTGCCCCTATTTCGAGGATCTGGACTGCGTCCTGGTCGATGCTACCCAGGATAGCCTCATGAACCTGAGGGATCTATAGGCGCTGACAACCCATGAATGACTTCCAGAGGGAGCACTTTGCAGCACTCTGATCCATGGAGCAGACCATCGACTGCAGGCTTCAGGAGGACATCTAACTGTGGTGAGAATCCTGGAGGAGCTGCTGGAACAGGGCCGCATCATGTGTACGGCCGTTCAGTCCCTCATTGCCGCCATGATGCCTGCTCCTGCTCCCACTCCTACTTCTGCTCTCACTGTAGCTCCTCCTTCAATGGCTCTGCCAATGCGTTCAGC